ACATCTGTACCCAGCCTTGCCCGAGAGTCGAACTTTTCTTGTTTGCCCTTTTCGTTGTTGACATCATGCGCAAACAGGCCAGAAAGATTTTAACTGTAGAAAACAGACAAATCTCACATTATACCTAAAGGTCCATGCCACATAGGGATTATGTAGGGGTCATATTCCAGTATTCCCTACAAAGCCCCAGCAAGTAGATTCTGCAGGGCAAGGGTAATGTGTTCAGAATTGTTGTTCATCATTTCCTGGCTGTGGAGAATTGCTTTTGCGCGTTTCTTTGCTTGTTCTTGCCGGATGGAACTGCAGTACGTCATTCAAAAACAAAAGCATATGTATGACAAGATCTTGCGGAATCTTAAGCCCATTCCTTTAACTACCGCAACCTAGTTCGAGATAGAATTCGAACAAGCTGCAAGGCTCACGTTAGCCTAACTCCCTGTGCGTAACCCCTTGTTGTTTCTCTACATGCCGTTCGGAAATTCAATCCCTACATAGCTCCTTCAATTGTCCATCTACCCTTTGACACACAAAACAACCAATAAAGACCCAAACTTACTGGTGATTAATAAGGAACAAGGGAATAGAACCCCCATATAGTCCCTGAATACTGTATTCCCTCATTCCTTTTTCCTTACTTGCCCTCAGTAAGTAACTCCAGCCCTGGGTTGCCTAAAGGTCCATGTCCACAAGCTCTACTTTGTGGTAATGTAGGGTATGTAATGGGTTAAGGAACCTGTTTGTAAAGACTTACAATGGGGCTACAGTGGGCTTGCGGAAGGGATGTAGTGTATGACCTAAGAAGCTATCAAGTCCAGGCCGAGTTCTTCATCCTCTCAAGTCAGTCCAAGGACCCACTGATGGGCTTGGGGGATTGGGGCTTAGGACCCTGTACCCTAAACCGATTAGGTCACAAGGTTCTAGTCCTCTAGGTGCCTTTAGGCTTAAGAGGCTTCTTGCAGACTTTGCAAGGTCGTGGCGGCGGGGACTTAAGTGAATGAGGAATTTGGTTCGAGGCGTGCTTTCACGATCAGGCAAAATGAGACAATTCTTTCCCTGCTTGGCAAGGCTGGCTTGAGACCTCTGAGGGTTGCAGTTGGCTGGTAATGTAGATGCCTGCATAGTGACAAGCATTAGTCCCTTATAGTCCGGATTGTTCTCCAAACTCTGTCTTAATTAGATTTGTTAAGATTGGCCCCTACAGTAGCCCCACTCTTCATCGGCGGGTGTCGTCTTGCAGCCATGGCACTCAGCGCCACACCTCCTGCAGCCACCCGCCCCTTTCTAGCAACGCCAGGCTCCCGATTATTTTCAGGCGGTGAGGAGCCATAGTCTAAACTCCTTCAAGGGGCTTATATAGAGAAAATTATAAGGGTTATTAAGGGGATACTCGGAGTTTAGACTACAGCTCATAGGGTTTTGAGGGTTCCTTGAGGGGGGCCTTGGGTTTTTCCTTCGACAAAGCAGGACCATAAATCTGAAACTGTAGTCCTAAACCCTCAAGCGCAGATAAAATGCAAACCCTGTATAACTGTATGAACCATAAGCCTGAAACCTTTAACCCTAAACCAGAAATCCTACGCGCTAGGACCGCGCGCTGGCTGTGTCTGATGAGGGCGACTCATTGGGCAAGCCTTGTTGTGGCTTGCCCTCAAAAAGGTTCAGGATTTCGGGTTCAGGAGTTAGAGTTCAAGGTTTTGGGCTTGAAGTTCAAGATTAAGGGGTGAAGAGCATGTAGAGGTCCAGGGTTTAGGGTCTACTTGGGACTTTGAGGCCCCTTCGAACATCTCCTTTGCATCCGCCGCCCACTTCTTGCCCAGCCATGCTCCAAATCCACTTGCAAGGAGAGTTGAGAAGGGCGGTTAAGGTCATTGCACTACTTTCTTAGCATCGTTTAATTGTTTCTGTTATTGCAATTAGTACTAAAGTTTGTATCTTTTGCTTATTAGTTTTATTACGGTGGCTGTCAGGGACGGACCCGCGAAGACCCCGCGTACAAGCATTAGAATCGCGTGCCGAGCGATTCAAGGACAGCTCGCACTTTAGAATTTTAGGGTTTAGGGTTTACGGTAGTATTGTCCACTGATCTTTTGATCCTAATATGCATACCTTTATTGCTGCAACAGTGTCACTGTCCTGCAACTAAGATGATGCTCAGTCCATGATGCGACGATACTCGCTGCTGACTGACATCGTGGCGACCTTACGCACTCAGCTATGCCTTTCAACCTCCCATGTGTCAGTAATCAGTAGTCAGGAACACTACAAGCACGTGTCCCTTCTATGGAGAGGCTCGCAATGCCTCACCAAAGCCTCACCAATCACCAATCGCGATGTTAAGCAGTGATATTGCGTCAAGTTTCATGTGATGTCTGTGTCTGAACAAGAGCGCCGAGAGTCTTACGCCTCCACACTACTTTACTTACATAGTAGTGAGGGAAGGTTTGTGGGCACTGCGATACTGTGATAGCCGCCTAAAAGTCTCAGGTTGTGCTCATCACAAGTCTCCGGGCATCTACGTACGCTTGCGTTCATCCGTACGCTTGCGTTCACCCCTAGAAGTATCAGCATCACCAGCAGAACGTGTACGTTTGTTGTCACGGACTTTTTTGGGAGAAGCTGTAATGGTGTTGTGCACGCAAAATGCGCGGGATTCCCGTTCACAGTAGCATGACGCTTACTCACGGTAAGATCTCAAAACACTCCCGAAGAGGCTCTCAAGCCAAATCATCCTCCTGTCATACCTAAACCCCATTCTTAGAAACCAGCACCTTGAATCTATTCCAAGCTACGGACCCTAAATCCCACATCCCAAGGCCAGTAGCTACCCCCATACCCACACAAGCAGCGGGTTCTCTAGGACTGCTCCAGGTTCTCACCCTCAACAAGTGTGGCTTCGGCGTGTATCAGACGGACCATGAGGATGCGAACGGCCAGTTCGAGATCAACTGGCACTACCAGGACTGCTTTCGGGTTACCGAAGCCCTCCCAAATAGGTAAAATAATGACCCAAAAACCCTAAACACAGCCCAAATGTACTTTAGGGGTTTAGGTAGGGATCTTAATTAAGGAGCTTGAATTAAGGAGCATTGTTCAGGTGTGACCTCATTACATGGCCAAGGAAGTGATGCAGCAGACATGGCATGTACTGGCACTGCTGTGTTTCAGTCTAAAAGCTCACTTTTGCCAAAGCTTTGACATTTTCCCAACTTAAAGATGATGGGAGTTGAAAGAAGGGATGTAGAAGCATGAGACGCACTGCCGCTGTAATTTTCAGCGTAGGAGTACGCGCCTGCTTGACTTGTGCGATTTGGTTAACTTGATCATCTATGTTCTTTATGATGGTATAGAATCAGAATCCTCTTTAGCTTCGCGTATTAGTCATTGCAGCTGAATTTCTACCATTACGCAGGAACATGTTCTTCGTCAAGCACGGAAATCTAAACACTACATTTCCGTCAAAATTACGGACTTTACACCTTATTTTGAATTTATTGAAGAGTAACATGTAAGGAACTATGGGTTTCCGCACTCACGAGACCTTTTGTTACTATCTAGGTAAAGCTGTTGCAGCCCTAGGCTTTAAGAAGGAAATTTGATCTTGTTATATCTTGTTGAAGACTGGACTGAAGATACTGTAGAAGCAGTCAGGCCTCCACCCTACAGGGTCCAAGTTTACAGTCTAAAACCCTAAACCTTAAACCCTAAACCCCACACCCTACACCCTAAACCCTAAACCTTAAACCATGGGCCATAAGGGATGCCTTTGGGCAGCGGACTGGGCTCCTGCAGAGGGATTTTTTGGTTCTTAAATCAAAGTCCCAGGTCCCGACTCTGGCATGAAATTCTGAAATCGGTTCCTACTTACTGGGCTGGAAGGTGATTTTGTAGAATCCAGACTAGGAGGACTTGCCGAAATTTGAGAAGTTCATTGGCAGGGTATAGCCTCCAGCCAGCTTGGACCTCTGAAGGAGCATGGTGGGAATGAGAACTCAAACGATCAAATCAAGTATTCTGTGTAGCCAGCAGTCAGATATTAGCCATAGGGTTGAGTCAAGCTTGCATCCATGGCGCGCAGGACTGCATGACGACGGCTGACCAGCACATTTTCTTCAAGTGGAACTTGGGCAGTTGAATGGCAAAACTTCCCAAGGGTCAATTGTCATTGCATGTGTACTTTCTGGAGTGGTCTTTGAAGGTTGAGTTGTTGTGTGGAACGGATTGAAGAGTTGCTACAAACGCCCCATCAAGTAGGGGCACAGAACGACGTTTGGGAAAGGCTCCATTCGCCCTACCTGTGAAGTTACAGCAGGTAGGGGAAAAGGCTCATTTGAGACAATGGGCTGAGTAGCATTACAGTGGGTTTATTTGATTGGCCCTGCTGGGGATGGGGCCGATCCTTGACGGTTCATGATCTAGCTTCGCACGCTGGGCCCAAGCGCTTGTGGAGAGGCCAAGGATCACTGCAATCAACCCATGAAGCTGCGAGCAGCGCACTCCAGTGGCCCTTCCCAGAGATAAGCGCTGCATATTCGCAGTCCTACCAACAAGTTGGTCCTAGTAGTATCATCTGCGGGATATCGTCTTAAGCCCCGTGACTGCTTCCTGATGACAACGAGGTACGGCAGAGATGGATTCTTGTCCAAAGTTGCCTAGCCAAGGGCCGTGAAGACGCTCGCAGAGCGGCACGGGTTTTCGGTACACATGGCCTGGTTGACTCCAAGCAGATAAGATTGGGATCTTAGAATGGCTGCAGAAGTGGCTTATGGTGTACACTCTTATAAGGTCAAGTATTAACTCTAAACACATCTTGATCGTGAGAGCCAAGTCGCAGTCTTGATTTAAAGAATGCTTTCCCAGTCTTGCATTATGATTCCTGCAGCCAAGAATGCTGCTATCCATTGGTCAGCTGATCACGGTGCCAGGCCACGTTCATGCCAAAGCCTTTCAGCGCCCTCAGCAGCATGGCTGCAATGAGAGTCGACAGAGGGGCAATGCTTATCCAGTCTGTGGGAGTCAGTTGACGTGATGAACCAACTGACATCAAACGAATGCTGTCAAGGGCAACTAGTATTTTGGTTCCATGCCCGCATCACAGCATCACGTGCTCAATTTTTTCTGATGAGAGCACCATGACCATGAATAGAATGGAGACGCACCCTGCAAGTCCTGCAGCATGCTGCAATGTCCAATGCAAATGTATAACGGAGTGAGTTGGCAACACTTAGAAGGAATAGGAATGCGGAGTCTCTCAAGATACGCCAGTGTTTGTAAACCAAGAAAGACAGAAGATACGCATTTCTTGACACGGCCCATGAAAGGACCCGCAATTTCTCTAAACTCCAGTAGCCCAAGAATCACTAGGCCCCTTCAATGATCTAGTTGCCTGGCAACATCACATTTGCTCCACTGTAAACGGGTGAAGTTGGCGCGTAGCCAGAACCACCAGTGCAGGATCATGGCTTGCGCAGAAATTGTTATCTTTTGTTGGGAGCTTCCTGTAGTGGCACGCACCTTGCTGTGACTAAGCCCTGACACCGGCCCCCGGGTTCAGGGCAGACCATTATCTAAAGGTCTGAACTTCATAAGCCTGAGAGACGTGATTGTAGTGATTCTCCTGACAGCGGCCGCACTCACAGCAGGGCTCACAAGCTGCAGGGGCACAGTCCGAACTCATTTTGCGTGCAAGGAAGGGTGCTGAACCAAACAATTGGGGGAAAAAAATGTTCCCCCAATTGTTTAGTACTCAAGAACATGTCTTGCAGCAACTTAGCGACCTAGCTCTCCATCTTGCAAGTCAAAATGGTGCAGAGTCAGAACCAAGGTTGCTTGTTTGCCTTTGTGCTTTGACAAGGCTTTCCAGTGTCCGACGCAAGGCGGCATGCGGGGCCCTCTACACTCCACACAGGTACAAACATTTGCCCATTGCATCAAAGAAGCTTTCCTACTTTGGTGGCTAAACGGCGTGTATGGTCCGCCAAAACTGTTCCCACGATTTGGAAACAACATGTGCCACGCAAAACTTTCCGCTGAGTATGGTAGACCAAGGTGGCAACGGATGCCACATTCACTGTTCTATGTGGGCTGCTGACAAGAACGTTTTCGAGGCGAGCAGTTTACTGACTGAACCCGCATTTGTTGTGATGAGTCCTTTGCCTGGTGGCCTTGAAATAAGATGCAGTCAGATGCCTTCTTCAATCACACTCTCTTAAACGCCCTTGATGCGTTCAATCCACTGCAAAGACGTGAAGGATATTAGATAAGCTTGCGCCGACCCGTATGAAAATATACCCTAAGCTTTTGATCCGGAAGCTGAGCTCCGTTACTCATGTAGAAAGATTTGGGGATTCCCATGCAACCTGCCATTTTGGACAAGCTACTACACAGGGAGGATTATGGGGGTAGTACGGTATTGGGAGCTAAGGTAGGTAGTTAGTCTAAAACCAATGACTATCACCCACAAGGCACTAGGTACATGAGACAGACAATCAAGAATCTCGTCTGCCAGCAGGAATTTATGCCGCAAACCCGATACTTGCAATCTGCACCCTAAACAGTACAGAACGTTACTTAAGCACTAGGCCAAAGACTTAAACACTCAACCTTATATCCCAGATACTAAGCCCTATCTCCAAGGCCTAGGCCTTTGAATTTTGGCCTTGTACCCCAAAACCCATCAACGAAAGGGTGCCCCCCGTGACGCAGGGCGCGAACGGAGAACTGTCAGAGATCGGACGCCACTTTCTGGGAGGAGTTCTTGCAAAGGCGGCCATGGAGTTTTGGAGCGATAGTTGAAGAAATGTGGGCATTCGATCATCGTGTAATTGTACAGTACAGGAGGTATAACGCGATGATGTTGGCAATCGCTTGAGCCGCTGACTTCCAAGTGGGAAGCGCGGACCAACAGCTGTGGGATGGGTGCGGTGCTTCTCCAAGGACTTCTCCAAGGACTACATAACGAGGAAATGAAACAGAATATGGAAACTATAGGGATTACTCTACCATTCCCCCCTTCCTGCCATATACACCGCCACTCGCCTATGTTGTCCAGTGCTGCCAGCAGTGCGTGGTAGGCGCCGGCGTACTGCGTCATCACGAACCCTGTGGTGAATTCCTACAAGAGGCAAGAGCGGGCGCAGAGTGCATGTCTTCAATTCCATCCGACCACCTAAGTCGGGCCTGCTGGACGGAGCCTCCTATAGTAAAAGGCAGATGAAGTTCCACAGCCTTGCGGCTGAATTGAAGGGAGAAGCTGTGCACTGGATGCGGAGAGGCTGAATTCCTCCCCTACAGCCTCCGGCTACTCCTGGTCTCCAAACCGCTGCTCGACTTGCCGCCTGAGTAAGTAGGCTTTCAGTTTTTGAGAGTATGTTCTCCTCAATACACGGGTTGCATGCGGATTCAAGCAGATCAGGCCCTCGTGAGATGCTTTGGGATTGTCATTCTTGCTGTCATCACTACATGCATTTACTGTGAGTGCTATTATCGGCGCCCTGTTCCTTGTCTCAGTCCTCTGTAGCACTGAGGCGAATCCCGACTCCCCACCCTCCAGCACTTCATGTCCGTAAGAGCCTATGACTTTTGTATGCGAGCTGGCGAAATCTTGCCACAGCGTGTTGTGAGGCATAAGACTGGGGACCCTGATGTTTGGACATAGTCGCACTGATATCAAGCACAGGTGTCTCCTGGAGCGGCAACAATCGCAGCCACATGGCACCTTGCCAGCATCAGGTTAGCGCATGCAGGGACTGCTGTGATACCATCTGCTGCTCACAAGCTAGTTGGGATGATACGGCATGTTCTGGGAAGTCCTGGCATCTGCCAGCATGCCAGCTCCATTGTCAGTACACCTTCATTATGCCCAGTCTTCATGACAGTGCTTACCTTGGAAAGTCTCACATCCTGGATGTGGGAGTAAGACCCCCAGCAAACGACACTCCTAAAGACATAAGCCATCAGCCGCACAAGCCTCCATTCAGAACTGAGGCCCTCCGAACCCTCAGCCCTATCCGACCCCGTCAACCCCAAACCTCACGAGGTATACGGTATACGCCTGTCCGCAGAGGCAAACATATCAACCATCATAAATAGGCTCAGAAACCCTCGTGCTTCAAAGCCGCTTGCACGTCTGAACCCAAGTTTTGGTCAGGCGTCCAAATCAGAACCCTCTTCTGAGCATCCGACATGCTCATGCGGGTATTCGGAAGCCGAACCTTATATTCGCATGGCTCTTGCTTTAGATGCTAGCTGCAGCTCCTGTATCCTCATTATCCCTGTGTAACCTCATGGTAGCCCTTAAGACTGGAGTTCATTTGGGTTGTACTTTCAATGAGGATACCCTGATCCCCAATTTAGAATGAGATTCTAGTCTCCTTGTGGGTCTAATATTGTACAAAAAGACTTGTACCTTAATTAGTTTGCTTGCTGATAAAGCTCGATGGGTCCCTGCTGGCGTAAGGTGCGAATTCCAGAGGGCGACCGCTTCGAGTTACGTTTGCCAGACGGTGCAGTTGCCTGGCTTTCGCCTTACAGATGATGTAAATGCAGTAGTAGTAGTAGTAGTAGTAATAGTAGTAGTAGTAGTAACATCATGTAGGAATCTGGCCATCAGGTCCTGACCCTTGCAGTCTATCGAGGGTCACTGCCTAACATTTGGGTTTTCGGGTTTAGGCTGCGATTTCGCAAGCATTTTCCATCTTGGAAATCCTTGAGAGGGCGTCTGGGAAGAAACAGCAAAATTGTCGTGTCAACGACTTGGAGCATGGCTTGTCAAAATCGAGTACCAGTAGAAACCCAGGTATACGGGAGGGATTGATATGGGTCATGCTGAGAAACACTTATGGAGAAGGCTTTCCAGCTTTTGTCCGAAGCTTGCAGCTTCAGAACCCTTGGCGGTAGCTATTACTAGCTGGTCCATACCAGGATATGTGGGACTCTAGAGGATTAACGAAAGCGTGGGGATGTATTTGAGGCATCGCATCTTCTAGCTATGTAAGAAGATAGAGGCATATCCTAAGTTGCAACGAAGTATTGCGTGCTAAGTCCCACAAATTGGGAATACATTCATGTTGCCGACCTGGGTTGCTGTACTGCGGTATGGCTGTCACAACACAGGCACTTATTGGGAAGTTTGTTTTTCTGTTTTTTCATCTTGTTCTGCTCAGAGGAGGTTCCAATGCGAATAAGTTGACATGGAGATGATATGCCGCTATGTCTTACTGATTTACTTATGACGGTGGCCTTGCTGGGTTATGCAGTACGGTAATTACAACATTCTCTCGAACTCAACGCAAGCGAGCCGAAGTGCCGGACTCTTGGATACCACTGCAATGCGGAGTTCTCCTTGAGCTCCCGCACTAGCAAAGCTGCCGAGACTCCAGCGCCAGGAATCAACTGGAATCTCTATAGAAGTTGGAGACTACCCCGCACTATGACAGACAAAAATGGAACCCTTGTTGAGGTTAGAATGTGACGACAATTACAACATGTGGGAACTGATCAAGGGCGGGGGCAGCATCCAAACTTGAAGGATGTTTTTCCTGAAGCCCTAAAAAGCGCTAAAAGCGGAGGCAAACCCCTACTTGCTGCAAGCCACCATGTTGGCCTGCGGCATCTGGGGCATGGACACGACACCCGGTGCAACTATATAGTTGTATAAGAGATTGAATGAACACCAAACTAATCCTCAGTAGAACAGTTCCATACTCTGCCCCAGAACCCTATGGGCTTCAGGCTTTATGGCAGGGTTGGCGAGATGATTTCCCAGTTGAGGGCTTGTCTTGAAGGTCCCTCCTCATAGAAAAGGGTCCTACTCCTGTGCTATAAGGGGGCGCATCTTCGCAGAATGCCCAGCGACCAGATATTCCTATCTCCGTAGACCTGGAGGGGCGTGTGTGCTTCTAGAGTTGCAGATGTGAAAAAAGAATGGCTGCATAGTCCGGCCAAGGCATGAAAGTTTCGGGCCTTCTGTGTTACCTTCAGAAAATAAGAGGGACAGCTACGCGAGGACCAGCTCAATTGGTTTAAGCCCAATGACCGGCAAGTTCGCTGTAACAGGCCTGATCCTGGAAGTATATCATGCGGGCACAGAAATCCTAGGGCATCATCGTAACAAGCAGGTCCGGTTCTTCGTGAGTAGTTGGTTCTGCGACTGAGGAAAGCAGACCCCTCTGGCTCCTACTTCCCATCTTCTGTGAATATGTATGCGCCGGCCTCAGCAGGTCCTCTTGAAAGATCCTTCGCAGTGTTGGGATGCTTGGGGGCTATTGTTTAGACAGATGCCGCTGTGTTGAAGTAGCGGCCATGACTGTCTGAGTTTGCCCTTCAACTTTTGTCTCACCATTGCCTGCGATGTTTCGGGACTTGTCTTAGCAGTCCTGAAGGAGTTGAGTTTCGTTTAGAAGCGTCAAATCCATGAAGTATTTCTCTAACCCTAAGTCCCAGCCCGCTAGGGCTATGAGTGGCCATGTCTTTCAAGTAGCCAACATCCCAAACCCTAAGCCCTGAAACCTAAACCCTAAACCCTAAATAGTAGCTTCCATTTTCTTTTCCATTATCCCTATATAACCCCCTATATAACCCCTATATAACCCCTATATACCTAAACCCCCAGCGTACCGCAGGATCCAAGCCCCACGCTTTCCACAGGCGATCCCCGACGGCGCGCCGGAGCTTAAGAACATTCAATCGCTTCCGAGGACGGTGGCCATGTTAAGGGTATCCCGAAATTGGGGGTACCTTATTGGGGGTCCCTATAATAGGGGTTCTAGTGTTTTGGGGTCAAAATTGGGGTCCCCATATTAGGGAAACTACCATATTAGGGATTATATAGTATCGCCCAGATTAGACGCGAAATAGCTACCTTCACTCATCATCTCCTCGAACAGCACGTCACCTTGGTGGCAACAGCTAGTATCAAGGCGCTACGTTCCCGCACCCTGGTTGCACCGGATACCGGAAGTCTTTACCCTGTAGACCCCCAAATCCACAAGCAAATCCCTAAGCCGTAAGCACCCTAAACCCCTAAGCCCCAACCCCTAAAACCCCTAAGCCCTCAACAACTTATGCCAAGCTCTCACTCCCCCGAATAAGCCCCGAACCCCAACCCAGGCCTTCCAAAAAATAAGGCAAGAAGTCTGGAGCCATAAACGCTAAACCCTAAGGCTCCATGCAGGTACGATTTATAGACTTTTGGGCCCCATGTAACAATGTAGGCTTTATTTATAGACTTAGAGCCCCAGGGTAAACCTTTCAGGAACCTACTGGACGCAATTCGAGAGTTGGAGGCCGACAAAGATCTGGCAGCGGGGCTTGGCGAGGCTGGGAAAGGTTTAGGGTTTAGGCTTGAGGGTTTAGGGTTTAGAGTTCAGGGTCGGGAAACCCCTTCTTGAGGGCTCTCCAGGGGTTTAGGGTTCAGGAGGCTCTTCAGGTAAGGGTCTCCTTAGAAATTGCCCCTCATTTTTCATAGAGTATAACCCCAAGGAATTATGTATTAAACAGCATACCCTTCGGGATCTAATTCTAGGTCTAGGGGGGTTAGAGTGCAGCCTAGGGCTCTCCAGGGGCTCAGGACTTCAGGATTTGAACATCGCCCCCAATTGAATCCTTAATGGGGGCCCTTGCCGGGGATGTGTTCTAGATAGCTCCCAATGGCAGCTGCGTTACGAGCGCGGGACACTCTCAGCCAGGCTTCAGACTCAATTGGATTGCTGTTAGGATCTGTTAGGGAACCTAATTTGAGTTGCCACCATGAAAAAGGAATATTGTGTGTCAAATATCCCTGAACCCTCAACCCCTATTATGGTTTACCCTAACTTCTCTAGCAGCCCACTTCACTGAAGAGTTGAGGACTAGAGATGCTGCTTAGGTCCTCTCAGGAAACGCAACGGGCCTTCTTTCGTACCATAACTCTGGGCCCGGCGCACCTGAAGCTAAACCCATGTAGTAGTATGTACGGTTCATAGGATTTAGGGCTTAGGGAGTAAGGCATCATGCTGGCAAAGTTTGACCTGCCGTTGGGCATTACTGCAGTGATCACTACGGAAGTTCTTGTTGCTGTCCTCATCACAATACGAACAGTACACATACTAGGAGAAATGAGAACAATCTGCATATTCAGCTTCATACAGACCGCTGTAATCTGTTCGTCGCCGGCTCTTGGTGCCCATGTCCCAGGAGTTCATGCAGGCCTTCTTGAAGCAACAGAAGCTTGCACCACAGCAGCAAGACGGTCAGGTTTCAGAGCCTTAGAGATGACCCCTAACTAGAACTAGAGTGCCTGATGTGCGGCTTTCTAGGCCTCTCGTAGGGCTCATAAAACTTCACGGGATCATTGTACAGAATTGTTTGGGGAAGTTGCGGCACCCCCCGACGGGTAGGCTGAGCTCGCAAGTTTCTACCCCTGGCTAACTTTGTGTGGGTGCATGCGGTTTGCCCCAGCAGATCAGCCACACATAGGAGTAAAAATCTGGCAAGTAGCTGACGTGGCTACCTTGTGCTTAAACTTCGTAGGCTCCATCCCGGTGTGCTTGCCCATCCACTCCTTCTAGCAATCCCACAAACTCTGCGCAGCCATTTGTAGAGTATGGGGTGGCGTCCTCCAACAAATCTCTAACCAATCAGGCGTTCAACAATGTCTATCCTTGCGCCAGCCCACTTACAGCCTGACTTGCAAAGCGTTTAACCCTAAGCCTGGCCGCAAATGTCTTTAAACCTTGGTCCCAAATCCTGAACGCACCGGGGGGTTGTTGGCCTGACAAAAGCCTAGGAATGGGCAGAGTTTATGGCGCATTTGTCCAGCTTCGAAGTGGAGAGAACCGTGAACTGCTAAAAGTCAAGGTTCTAGGGGTCTCGGGTAGAAGTTCAAAATCTTATGAATCTTGGTCAAGCTTTCCAAGCCTTTGAAAATCAGAGGATCCTTATGCTAGGAACTGAGAAAGCCCGGTATGTAACCCTGGGTCTTGGGACTGGGTTGGCCTTTGGGATATTTAGACATTACATGTTCCATGATTGGTTTCATGAGGACCCTACATACTAACATCTTTCAAAGGGCCCCACAGCTGCATTAAACACCCCAGGGTATCGGGAATATGGATTTTATTGCGTCTAGGGGGTGTTTGATACTGAGAGGAAGGGGTTATGTGTTTTGGGGACTCTTCATGCTCGGCTTCCGGGATTCTATTTTAGGGAGATTTTGTCAGGCTTGTGTTAGGAATATTCAGATATTCAATGTCAGGAAGACGGACAATGAAGTTCATGGGGGCTTTCTGTTTGGAACCTCAATTCAGAGCGTCAATAAGTACGAATAGACAAAGTTTGGGGTTGTCTAGGCACATACAAAATTAGCCTAAAGCCCAAACCTTACCCTAACCCTAAACCCAATTTGGGGCTTAGGACTAGGAGGTATCTCAAAGTAATGCTCTAACAAAGATCGCCCCTAGCAAAAGCTATCAAAACCTTCTTTAAGCTGGATTCCTCTTGCGTAGCAGTCAAGAGTACTATGTGTCTTTTAATGGGAGACCCATGCAGTTTTCATGGCACAGTTTGAGACATGGCCACATCAACTGCAGCTTGGCAGTGGATAATATAGGGGCCTAAATTACCCATGTTATGGTTCCATATTCCTTATATAACTATGATCTATGGTACCTCAAACTGATATTGGTAATTCTTTAGGCCCCTGTAGTACATGCCGCTCTCCTGTGGCTCTACAAGCTGCTTACAATATCGGGATCCCCCTGCGCCAGATCGTGCAGAAATGATGCCAAAGCCTTTTCAAATCAATCCCCATTTCCATTTGATTTTCCAAGTTCTTTTCCATTGGATTCTCCATGATTGAGGCGATACATCCATGAATACCAAATTCAATCATATCTCTTGTAATACTAGTAGTCCTGATCTTATTTTCCATTTCCCTAAAAACCCCATATATCCTTTTTGTAGCAGGAGGTCTAGGCGGCACGAGCATTTGAGTCATTTACGGGGTGTGTTGCTTTGAGCGGTGGTCCTCATTGTGGTGTTCGAGGGACAGCGTCCTCAAGGTGACTTGTGTGAGATCTCTTGACGATATTGTTCGATCTAGCGAGCTCATGCGCAGCTGCACAGTCAGTAGCTTGTGTTCGTCGTATGTAATCTATACTCTCCAAAACCTTACACCGCATTACAAGCAGTATGATGAAGATAGAGTAGAAGGCTAGAATCTACAAGGCACAACAACTAGTGGAGGGAGCTTCCAGCAGCACAGGAAAGCGACAGTTCAGTGGCAGAAGGTAGATCGATGAAGCCGATGGCAAGCAGCCACGAAAGTCCAAGGGTCTTACCAACCAGAAGATAAGATCCCAAGTAAGAGTTGCGCTTGCATCAACCTCGCTTTTGTCAGGACAGCGTTTCCTTTCTAGCACAGCTGAAAGGAAACCAGGTCGAGGCTGCTTGTCCACATACAGTTTTAAATTGATTCGTTATACTACCTTCCGCTCGATGAGCTCAGCGCAGCACGCGAGCACTTCAGGAAAAGCGACACCCGCATGACTGGGGATTGCACTAAGCAAGCTTGCTATTCAGGCCCCCCCTTACATAACAATGTAATACAGTCCCTATAGCCCCTTGTAGAAAGCCAGTTTTCATTTCATGTTGCATGTTCTTTTCCAGTTGATTCTCCGCTGCTCTAGTTATGTGGGCTTCTGCGCCTAGCCCTCTAAACCCTAAACCCTAAAAGAAGCCAAGCACCATTTGTGTCAGATCTGGCTTGAGGCACATTATCGGATGTAGGGTTTAGGGTTTAGGATTCACGGTTCAGGGTTTAGGGTTTCGGGTCCTGGCTACACCCTCCGTTCTCAGCGACTAGCTGTAGAGAACAATTGGCGCTCTCTCAAACCTGCTCCTATGGAATTCTGAATAGAGACCCACATGAGCTATAGCCTTCAAACTCCTTAAAGGCGGTTATGTAGGGGTTTATATAGGGGAGCATAATAGCGGGTTATCAAGGGGGATACTCGGAGTTTAGACTGTTGCTCACATAGTCTCCTTACGATCCCTCTCTACCCGTAAAGTCGCTCAGGGCAACATCGCCATCCAGTCCTTGGGGTAGGTAAAACGGATGCGAACATTCTTGGGTGTAGAAAGGCGAACCCTAGTCTTAAGAGTGGGGATTCTTAGGCGGAGCCTTCGGGGGGAACAGCTGGAACATCCATGTGGCCATGACATGCCATAATTACGTGTTCGGGATGCAGAGGCCGTTGAAGGTATAGATGTGACACATGTTGGTTGAGCCTGCAGCAAAGTCGCGAAGTGAATCGACACATGTGGCCCGTAGCAACTGAGATTGGCATGGGCAGGGGCAAGAGCCAGCTCAATGCTGCAGACTAAACAAGCGGCAGGAACTGAACTACCTGCAACCACTTGCCAGATTGCAAACTAGCCTGAATGGTACATGCCCGCAGCACGTACTGATGGATGCAGATTACATGCATGGTCCCACACAACCTCAAGCCATGTAAGCTGGAAGCTTTGCAAAGCTTGAGTCTGAGACAACCCCAACCTCTCAAAAATATGCATAAACCTCAAACCGTACATGCACGTCTCATTTGCTTATTCGACCTCCAAACCGAATAGCTTCCTTACCTAGTTGGTTGAGCCCCTGGACAAGAGCATGGTTTTCACCCTGGTCCTTACCAGAGTGCAGGGCGGGGGCCTAAGGCCAGGTCAATACTAATATTATGATCCCATATTCCCTATATAAGTATGTTCTATGGTACCTCAAGTGGACCTCAAAATGATATTGGTAATTACCTAGGCCCCTGTAGTACCCCCGGTTTGGGCTTTATGGGGCTCAAGGTTTGGTTCAATTAAGATGGAAGCTGCAAAGGGGCCCTTGGTATACTGCTGTCAGTTGAAATAGGGGCTGCGCAGGGTTCCATGTTAGTTTGGGGGAGGCTAGCTGTCGTGGGTTTTTAGATCATGGTTTTGTCAGCTGTCTTGTTCCCGCTTGCAGCTACCAGCCCCGCTGCATTATCGTAGCCAGTGTTGTCGTAGTTGATCACTAGGCTCATGCCGCACCCAAGTAATGTCCGTGTTTCGACTCCGATGAGTCCTGGATGAACTTTTGGGATTCGCATCTCTGCGCTGTTCGGGTATGAAGGGACACTATAATAGTAATAATAGTAATTCTAGTAGTCTATAGCACCCAGATCCTCGTGTTTCGATTGTCAACGGCCACCACTAACTTGGAAATCTTTTCACGCGCGGCGGGAGAGGCAAGTGCCAGGAATTTTCTGAAAACAATTTCCAAGTCTTGTTCCTCCAGATCCAAGCTTCAAGAAAGTCGAGAGAGGGGTACACTATCTGGAGCAAGTCTGGGAGCTCCCTAACCAGGAATATCAGAGGACTTGACACGGCTGAGGTTGGACGGAATTCAGAGTATAGCCTTTAAAGCAAGTGCCATCTGAAATCAAACGGGCATTTGGGCGGGAGACTCTAGTTGTTATATTTTGCGTATGTTTAATGTGAAGATGAAGGGAGCACTGATCAGCCCCCGATGTGGTTTTACTCTGCACTCTGCCCTCAAACCCTCAACCCGCAACCAAGCCCTAAACCCTAAGCCCTAAATAGTAGTTTCCATGTTCTTTTCTATTTTCCCTATATAACCCCAACCCTTGACCCCAGAGTGAAGCTGTGCCGAGGTGGCTCTTTTCAGCTGAAGGCCATTGGATGCGGCAACAATAGCATACAATAGCTGACTGGTGCTTAAGGGAGAGTGTGGGGGGCTGGATCCCTATAATCACCCCTATAGAACAGCCACAATATGTACTCCTAGAATGGTACCTATATTCAAGTAGGATAAACACTGTTGATGGAAGGAAGCTTGCACCTCTTAGGACAGCAGACCTAAGATGCAGCCTGCAAGGTGTGTTCCGCCAATAGTACAAGTAACAGTCTAACAGTATGAGCAACAGTGAGGCGTACTGCTTACAAAAGTGATCATCCCTGACCTGTAAATCCTAAACCCTAAGTCCTACTGGAAAATTGTTCCAGCCTTGACGCATAACTTTCACACTGTAGCACGCTGGAGGATTAGCGTCACCAGCTTCTACTTGGACGTTCCTGGAAATGATTAATTATTGTAGGGAAGTCGATCTTCAAGGTCACTGCAAGAGTTTCAATGCAGAAAGCACATGCCCAAAGTGGTCATTGAGCGTCACGGGATTTGCCGGTAGACATCTCAAAGCTCCGGCAACACTAGGTGATTGCGAAGTCCCCCGCGAGATTCTCCAGGTGACTTCATATGAAAGAATACCCATCAGGCCCTAAGCCCTGAACCCCTGAAATTTCATCGTTGTGACAGTGGATCAAACAAGGCTGGGCCTGAGCATTAAGCGACAATAGGCTAAAGACTGTTGGCTTGACAGGCTCGTTGCTGAACATGGCGGGCGAGGCTCGCTTGACAAGTCCAGGTGTTGCGAACAAAGCTCCCGAAACCATACATAGAGCCGCAGACCACGGTCCTTTTCAAAGAGGGGGTTGAAGAAATGTTTAAAAAGCTATTCCGGGTGTAGAGGTCTGTTCAGGGAATGATCTTCATGTGGAGCAGTCCAGCGCAGGGCAGGGTTGCAACGTTGCGCAGTGCAACGGTTCCTTTCCTTCTGGGGAAAGTGAGGTTCAGGGTTTGCCCTCTCCGAAAAAGGAATGGAGCCTCATGGCAAAGAATCCCATGGCCCTAAGCACATCTTCCTGGTTGCCATGCCAGGACGACTCTCCCCTCTTGACGCCCGAGGTGCGGCAATCTGCTGCTTGCTAGGTGGAGAAAATTGGGGTGGTTATGGACGGTCACGGAAAGTTCTCAGGATCTGGGCTTCTTGTGAGAGGTCATTTCTAGCATTTGTTGCTCGCCACTATGCTTCAGACGTTTGATGTAAAGCCTCAAGCTTAAGCTTGATGCCCGACCAATGCCACACCCGATTCAAAAGATGTTCTTTGGCTGGCTTCCTGGCGTTGGACGCTTCCGCCCAGATCCTATAATAGCGATAGTCGTACTGATAGCAGTAGTAATAGTAATAGCACTACTAATGGTAAACTCTAAACCCTACACATGGAACTGAACAGAAGGAACATCTCCAAATCACCCCCTCAACCCTAAACCCTAAACTAGTTTTACCTTGCTCCCTATCTGTGCCAGGAATCATCGACCGGTTTTACCCTGAAGCATTGCTCATGGGCGCAAGCTTATCCTCATACAGTCCCTGGTGATGTCACGCCTTGTCCTCACCAGACGCGACCTTCCAAGCAAAAACAGCCTGCATGTTTGGAGGGTGCCTCGAAGGTCCCCGACAATAGTAATACTGGCAATGGCAGTACTAAGAGCAATACTAGTATTCGTGGTAATAAGAGTAATACGTTCAATTCCTCCTGATAGCCGGTGTCAACCCGAAAGCAACGAGTAGCTGGTGACTTGCGAAGAGTTTTTGAAACAGTGTCAGAGTCTGAAGATTTTGCGCGAGTATGCCAATCCACCGCCTTATATTCCACCAAAATTTCAGTATCCCCCAATAAACCACGTCTTCAACTTAAGAAACCAGAAACAGACTTGCTGGTGCTCAAGCTGGAGTTGAGGAGCATTACAACCATACCTATAAAATCCCATGTATACACCCATTACTGTGGCCATTTTCACTCCCCCCCTCCCCCCTAAAGCACCAGTAAGAAGAATCTTGAAAGATCTTGTGAGCCAAACCTCCCCTAAAGTAAATGTGGGTCATGTTGATAATCTCTTCAGAGGGGATGGATGCCTGAGCCATCCACTATAGGAGCTTAGATAATTACCAACATCATGGTTCTGGATTTCCTATATGAGCCATAGTCTAAA